GTGTGTGTGTGTGTGTGGTGCGAATGTGTGTGCTGTGTTTTGTGTGTGCGAATGTGTGTGCAAATGTGTGTGCGAATGTGTGTGCGAATGTGTGTGTGTGAATGTGTGTGTGAATGTGTGTGAATGTGTGTGTGTGGTGTGTGTGTGTGTGTGTGTGTGTGAATGTGTGTGTGTGTGTGTCAATGTGTGTGTGTGAATGTGTGTGTGTGTGAATGTGTGTGTGTGTGTGTGTGTGTGTGTGTGAATGTGTGTGTGTGTGTGTGAGAATGTGTGTGTGTGAATGTGTGTGTGTGTGTGTGTGTGTGTGTGTGTGTGTGTGTGTGTTGTGTGTGTGTGTGTGTGTGTGTGTGTGTGTGTGAATGTGTGTGTGTGTGTGTGTGTGTGTGTGTGAATGTGTGTATGTGTGTGTGTGTGTGTGTGAATGTGTGTGAATGTGTGTGAATGTGTGTGTGAATGTGTGTGTGAATGTGTGTGTGAATGTGTGTGAATGTGTGTGAATGTGTGTGTGAATGTGTGTGTGTGTGAATGTGTGTGTGTGTGTGAATGTGTGTGTGTGTGAATGTGTGTGTGTGTGAATGCGTGTGTGTGTGAATGCGTGTGTGTGTGAATGCGTGTGTGAATGTGTGTGTGTGAATGTGTGTGTGTGAATTGTGTGTGTGTGAATGTGTGTGTGAATGTGTGTGTGTGAATGTGTGTGTGTGAATGTGTGTGTGTGAATGTGTGTGTGTGTGTGTGTGTGTGTGAGTGTGAATGTGTGTGTGTGAATGTGTGTGTGTGTGAATGTGTGTGTGTGAATGTGTGTGTGTGAATGTGTGTGTGTGAATGTGTGTGAATGTGTGTGAATGTGTGTGAATGTGTGTGTGTGAATGTGTGTGAATGTGTGTGTGTGAATGTGTGTGAATGTGTGTGTGAATGTGTGTGTGTGTGTGTGTGTGTGAATGTGTGTGTGTGTGAAAGTGTGTGTGTGTGAATGTGTGTGAATGTGTGTGCGTGTGTGTGTGTGTGTGTGAATGTGTGTGCATGTGTGTGTGAATGTGTGTGTGAAGTGTGTGAATGTGTGTGAATGTGTGTGTGAATGTGTGTGAATGTGTGTGTGAATGTGTGTGTGAATGTGTGTGTGAATGTGTGTGTGAATGTGTGTGTGTGAATGTGTGTGTGTGAATGTGTGTGTGAATGTGTGTGTGAATGTGTGTGTGAATGTGTGTGTGAATGTATGTGTGTGTGTGTGTGTGTGTGTGTACTCACCTATTTGTACTCACCTATTTGTGGTTGCAGGGGTCGAGTCTTAGCTCCTGGCCCCGCCTCTTCACCGGTTGCTACTGGGCCCTCTCTCTCCCTGCTCCATGAGCTTTATCAAACCTCGTCTTAAAACTGTGTATGGTTCCTGCCTCCACTACGTCATTTTCTAGGCTATTCCACTGCCTTACAACTCTATGACTGAAGAAATACTTCCTAATATCTCTCTGACTCATTTGTGTCTTCAACTTCCAATTGTGGCCTCTTGTTTCTGTGTCCCCTCCCTGGAAATCCTGTCTTTGTCCACCTTGTCTATTCCACGCAGTATTTTATATGTCGTTATCATGTCTCCCCTGACCCTCCTGTCCTCAGTGTCGTCAGGCCGATTTCCTTAATCTTTCTTCATAGGACATTCCCCTTAGCTCTGGAACTAACCTTGTGGCAAACCTTTGTACTTTCTCTAGTTTCTTGACGTGCTTTATCAAGTGCGGGTTCCAAACAGGTGCTGCATACTCCAGTATGGGCCTGACATACACGGTGTACAGTGTCTTGAACGATTCCTTACTAAGGTATCGGAATGCTGTTCTCAGGTTTGCCAGCGCCCATATGCTGCAGCAGTTATCTGGTTGATGTTGTACTTCCGGAGACATGCTCGGTGTTATACTCACCCCAAGATCTTTCTCCTTGAGTGAGGTTTGCAGTCTTTGGCCACCTAGCCTATACTCGGTCTGTGGTCTTCTGTGCCCTTCCCCTATCTTCATGACTTTGCATTTGGCAAAATTAAATTCGAGAAGGCCATTTGCTGGACCAGGTGTCCAGTCTGTCCAGGTCTCTTTTGAAGTCCTGCCTGGTCCTCATCAGATTTAATTCTCCTCATTAACTTCACATCATCTGCAAACAGGGACACTTCTGAGTCTAACCCTTCCATCATGTCGTTCACATATACCAAAAATAGCACTGGTCTTAGGACCGACCCCTGTGGGACCCAGCTCGTCACAGGTGCCCACTGTGATACATCATTACGTACCATGACTCGTTGTTGTCTCCCTGTCAGGTATTCTCTGATCCATTGCAGTGCCCTTCCTGTTATATGCGCCTGATGCTCTAGCTTCTGCACTAATCTCTTGTGAGGAACTGTGTCAAAGGCCTTCTTGCAGTCCAAGAAGATGCAATCAACCCACCCCTCTCTCTCTCGTGTCTTACTTCTGTTATTTTATCATAAAACTCCAGAAGGTTTGTGACACAGGATTTGCCTTCCATGAATCCGTGCTGGTTGGCATTTATACTCTTGTTCCGTTCCAGGTGCTCCACTCTCCTCCTGTGTGTGTGTGTGTGTGTGTGTGTGTGTGTGTGTGTGTGTGTGTGTGTGTGTGTGTGTGTGTGTGTGTGTGATGAATGGTTTTGAAAAACCGACAAGTTGAAGATTGAGACACTTATGCAGCATATGGGAATCTTTATTCAGGAAACGTTTCGCCACACAGTGGCTTCATCAGTCCAATAAAAAGAGGAAGGCATAAGGAGAGGAGGAGTATGAGGTAATCAGTCCCTCAGCCTGGAGTCGATGTGTTCAGTCCATCAAGATTGATGGACTGAACACATCAACTCCAGGCTGAGGGACTGATTACCTCATACTCCTCCTCCTCTCCTTACGCCTTCCTCTTTGTATTGGACTGATGAAGCCACTGTGTGGCGAAACATTTCCTGAATAGAGATTCCCATATGCTGCATAAGTGTCTCAATCTTCAATGTGTGTGTGTATGTGTGTATGTGTGTATGTGTTATGTATGTATGTGTGTATGTATGTGTATGTATGTATGTGTGTATGTATGTGTGTATGTATGTGTGTATGTATGTATGTATGTATGTATGTATGTATGTATGTATGTATGTATGTATGTATGTATGTATGCATGTATGCATGCATGTATGCATGCATGTATGCATGCATGTATGTATCTATCTGCACTGAAGACATTTTGTCAGTGAATTCAATAAAAAAATTATAAACCTTGGCATGAAATTTTTCTTTAAGCCACTGAGTTATTATATTCAATGTGTTTTTGAGATTACATCTGAAAAAAAACATACTGTTACCCATACATTCATTATCACCATGCATTAGAAACATTAAATATACACATAAATTCTTAATACAATTTAAATTGAAAAAAATCAAAATGCAGTTTATTAACATGATATATACCTTCATACTAAAACCACACAATTACACTAATAAAATTTCATAACTTATCACTAAAAAGTACTTCATATATCAAAGATAATCTAAAGTGCTCAGAAATGCATCAACTTCATAAATATCAGAAATAGCACTATCCCAACTTCTGCCTACTACTGTACTATACGTCTTCAGGTCCTACCATGTTCTTCTCTGGCAATTTTAAATTTCACAAGTGTGTGAAACTTCAGATGTACTACAGTTCTAAACAGCATTTCTACTCTATATATAATATATACAACTGGGGAAGTAGGCAAGACTATATCTTCTTTTAAGCATTCACTGCACTGAACAGCTATCAACCTTTCAGTGAAAATTCACTCATCACCACCATTTATTCTTTAAAAACAGACATGCCAACGTGAGAGTTTTAACAAACAGAATACTATTTACATTATCAAAAGCTGATAATATTTTCTATGTTCTTGGCATGTCTGTTTCCAGAGAATAAATCCCGAAGGTGGTGGTTGAATATGGATCAAAATGAAAACTGGGTAAATTAAATATTTTACGAAGTTATATTCTTCCCTACTCCCTTAAAGTATGCTTCTGCAAGAATTCACCACCTATGATATACTCTATGTATATATATACCACATGTATATACCATATACATTTGTATTTCAATTAAAGTCAGTAGATAATCTTTTGTTTTTTTCCTGTTGAACCAGAGAAGAATACATACACAAATTTCCTTACATACTTGAAGATTGAGACACTTATGCAACATATGGGAATTTTTATTAAGGAAATGTTTTGCCACACAGTGGCTTCATCAGTCCAATACAAAGTAGAAATGGGTAAGGAGAGGAGGAGTTTGTGGTAATCAGTCCCTCAGCCTGGAACTGATGTGTTCAGTCCATTACTCTTGTAGAAAGTACACCACATACCCGGAGAAGTGGCTCATATACTGTAGTCAGGCGAGTCAAAGCACATATGTTGCACAAGTGTCTCAATCTTCAACTTGTTGGTCTCAAAACATTTATCACTTCCTTACAAACTTGTAGCTCTAATATAATGATAATTACTGCTATTGTATTATACACTACTTACAACTACACTGTATAAAGCCTTCTGTATACTGTACTATACATGTATTTGTAACTATCCTGACAGTATTTATATCTTAAATGTTCATACATAAATATATAAACATTTATGAATAAAATTATTATTATTATTTTATAGTTAAATAATAGATGATGGATGGAGAGATGACCAAATTTTGACAATATTCCTCCACTGCAACATAGTAAAGAAACAGATATGTGGTGCTCACTTAATCTGATGAAGTAGATTTAGTATTGCCAGTTGATGGATTGCAATTAACAGCCTTACAATAGTGACTTTAATTTTTTATCATCTAAAAAGTGCTTTCCCAATGTAGAGTGCTACACCGATGAAGCACACAAATTAAAGTAATTGGCAAAAGACAATAAATCAAGGGCAAATGCCCAAGACAAAATGTCTCATGCAAAACTTGTGAGAGAGCGCCTTACTCCCACCATCTCCTCCAGGCAAGCCTCACCTTGTGGTCAAAGGCCTCCAGATCCTCCTCGGCCATCCACATAAACTCAGAAAAGTCAGGCTCAGCGTTGGGATTCATCCTGGCACTACCAAAGCCACCACTGGACTCACTCCCACCAGGACTATTATCGGGTAAGCGCATGAAGGAGCTGCCTGCAAGGGCCATCAGTGGGTCATTAGTAATGGGGATTAACATTATTAAAGTAGGTTAGTAAAGTGATATTAAGGGTAGGGTATCAATGATGGGTGAGGGTGATAATTTTATCTAACCAAGTTAGGTAAAAATGATGAAATTAAAGTACACATACAGATGTAAATTCACAGGTAAAACGTTATACTCAAAAGAATAATCACTAGAAACCAATTAGTGCAACAAATAACAAGTGCACATGCAAAATAATAATACTGTAATAGTAATAATAATAATAATAATAATAAATAATACAGTAGTAACTGTTCATCTTTATTTATACTAGAAAAGTGTTCCTAGCTGCCAATATTTGAATGTGCAAACCAACAAGGACCCTTTCATAAATTTGGCGATACTGTTGATGTAGCGTAATAGTTCTTGTAGGAATACCAACAAAATGCATTGATAAAGACACATGAGCAGCAACTGAAACGTTATCAAGCTGATCAAAACAAAGCATGCTGTGAAGACAAAACCTAGTGTCAATAAAGTTTCCAAATGCTGCTTGTGTGTATCAATGACACTGATTATAGAAATACAACATTCTCTCAGATTCAACCAGGAAGTTAACTGTCTTGTACTGTATTATCCTTGTCTTCATTCTTGTTAGAATGCAATGTAAGCATTCGATCTCTCAATTATACTTAAATATTTTCACTTTGTGTTGGCTACTACTTTACAGTAACTCCTCATTGTTAGCTACTACTCTTACAGTAACTCCTCAGTGTTGGCTACTACTCTTACAGTAACTCCTCAGTGTTGGCTACTACTCTTACAGTAACTCCTCAGTGTTGGCTACTACTCTTACAGTAACTCCTCAGTGTTGGCTACTACTCTACACAGTAACTCCTCAGTGTTGGCTACTACTATTACAGTAACTCCTCAGTGTTGGCTACTACTATTACAGTAACTCCTCAGTGTTGGCTACTACTCTTACAGTAACTCCTCAGTGTTGGCTACTACTTTTACAGTAACTCCTCAGTGTTGGCTACTACTCTTACAGTAACTCCTCAGTGTTGGCTACTACTATTACGGGAACTCCTCAGTGTTGGCTACTACTATTACAGTAACTCAGTGTTGGCTACTACTATTACAGTAACTCCTCAGTGTTGGCTACTACTATTACAGTAACTCCTCAGTGTTGGCTACTACTATTACAGTAACTCCCCAGTGTTGGCTACTTCTATTACAGTAACTCCCCAGTGTTGGCTACTACTATTACAGTAACTCCTCAGCACTGGCTACTCTTACAGTAACTCCTCAGTAACCTTCACAAGAATTTTGTGGATGTATATTACATTAGGACAAGGAGAGATACAATCCAGACCAGTGGTCTGGTACCCAAACCTTTTAGTACAGGAAAGCTTCTATTTACATACAGTACTGTCACCCCTTTATAAGCTGCCCATTTCCTTTCAAAGGGGAATAGAGCTGTGGTGTATGGCCCTTACTCATTTAGAGCATTCCCTCGAATATAATAATAAATGCCCCTTTAAACTACAATTTTTTTTATTCCATGCCCCATTGTACATTTAAACCTGTCACCATCACAACACCCAAATTTTAAAGTCCTATTAGTGTTCAAATTTAAAAAAAAAATTAAAATAGTAGAATTATTTTCTAAAGTTGATGGCAAAAATGCAAAATTTGATGAAAAATTCATCGAATTATGTAATGTGAAGCTGGCAATCTGGATTCAATTTAGGCATCAGCAATTTGACCCATTTTGAGGCCTATTTTATGCTAATTCCACTGTTCAAACCAACCCAAGTCCTATCTATTTCACTTGAATGCTTTCTGTTCTGTTGATTGATTACAAGAAACTGCCCCTTCAATTATAAGAACTAAGCTTACAAAGTGCCCAGAAGGTAATTTCTCCAATTTTACACAAAACTGAGCAAATTCCAACATAAAAACAGTCCATAATATACACAGAAGGCATTACAGCCACTAAAGAAACCTTTCCTCTGATCATTAATCTCATTCCCAGGCCTCTTCTATGCCACACTTCACCTCCATTTTGAATCTATCACCACAAGAAAATTGAAATTTTACCATATATCTCAGCTTTAAAATGTAACCAAGAATGATTGGTCATGACCATCTTGATAATTTAAGCTAACCTATTAAAAACCTATAAAACAGGAAAACTGACAAGAAATCTAATATTTCCACAAATTATCTTAGTTTTACTAGTACTGTACCATATAACTAACAGTCAATCAAATGATAGACCCATAAAACCAAAGGTGCTGTTTTAACCCAAACAGTAAAGTCAAATGTTAGTTGTTCCCACTATCAACTGTTTGGGGCAGGATCCTTTGTTTTATACTGTGCACACTCACTGCACTGACCCATTCTCTCATGTCTAGGCCAAAACTGACCACTCACAGAATTATGATTAAGATGTATAAAATCCACTGCATTTCCATAAATCTTTGACATACAGTATTCTGACCTAAAGCTGGTTTGTATTACATGTAGGATTACATTATTATATGGGGGTGCTAGTGTATTATGTAAGATACTGTAGTCTACAGTTTAGCATACAGGGCATAATAAACAAAGATATTAAATGCTATGCATCAGTCCTCATCAAACTAATAAGAAAGCCTAAGCAATTGTACTACTATAATAGATTCACCGAAACAAGAGGAGATATAAAAAAAGATCTGGAAGACACACTCAGATTCTGGGCACCCACAAACTGAAAAAAACTAGGGATATTGTCCTAACTAAACAATGAAACACAACTACAGCCTATTGATACAGTTAACAAGATAAATTACTTTCTCAACCATAGAGTCAAATTTTGCCAGCAAAATCCCAGGTGCCAATGCCTGAACGAGTGATTACTTAGATGGGAATATCAACTTCCTTCTATCTTGCACCAACCGAGCCCACAGAAGTCACCATGATTAAGTCACTTAAAAATAAATCAGGAAATCTAACTCAAGTCCTGCCATTATTGCATAAACGAGTGGCTCATGTTCTTTCGCCCGCTATTTCATTACTCTTTAACAAATCACTAGAAACCAGCACTTTCCTGACATGTTGGATTGCATGCAGCCAGCAGTAACAGCCTGGTTGATCAGGCTCTGATCCACCAGGCGGCCTGGTCACAGACCGGGCCGCGGGGGCGTTGGCCTGCGGAACTCTCTCCAGGTAAACTCCAGGTAAACACTACTCAAGGGTTACACCAGTACACAAAGGTAGTAACCTCACAGATGTAAACAACTACAGGCCAATATCGAACTTACCGTTGCTATCCAAAATCTTCGAGAAACTGGTTCACAAGAGATTATACTCCTTTATAACAGTGCAAAGCATCCTCAATCCCTGCCATTTTGGCTTCAGAAAAAGCAAAAGCACAAACAACACAACTGTAAAAATGATAGACCTGCTTTACACAGCACTTGAAAAACTGAATATCCACTAGGACTCTTTATCAACCCAAGGAAAGCTTTTGATACAATGGGCCACAGCATTCTTCTCCACAAACTTGATCATTATGGTATAAGAGCCCACGCACTTACAAATATTGTATCCTACCTTACTAACAGACATCAATATGTCTATTAAGGAAAACCTCAACAACAAGACCACTGGATACTGGAATACCACAGGGAAGTGTCCTTGATCCCCTGCTCTTCCTCTTATACATTAATGATCTTCCTAATGTATCACAACGACTTAACCTGTTCTCTTTGCCGATAACAAGATTTATGTCATCTCCCACCCTAATCTTGCCTCACTCAACACTATTATTAACGAAGAGCTAGTAAAAATATCAACCTGGATGTCTGCCAGTAAACTTACACTTAATATAGACAAAAACTTCTACATAATGTTTGGGAGGTAGAACAGGTGATGGTTGACAACACTCTTATTGCTAAACAAAATAAGGGGAAATTCCTGGGTCTGCACCTAGACAGCAACCTGAAATTCAACACCCATATCCAACACATAAAAAAAAAAGTGTCCAGAAGAGTTGGGATCCTCTCAAAGATACATTACTATGTACCACAATCAACTCTACTTGCACTATTCACTCATCTATCCCTACTTCACCTATGCTATTTGTGCCTGGGGATCAACAGCAGCAACCCACCTAAAGCCAAAGGGATGATTAAATTCAAGGGTCCACTGGTGAACCCTCAAATTTCATCATCCCTTTTCTGTATGTAAAACTATAGTTATTCTCCATAAAATGTATTTTTTGTTAATATTTTCCATAAGACAATGTAAATCCAATTAATCTATTCCAGACACCCAAAAATATTAACAAAAAAATACATTTTATAGAGAATAACTATAGTTTTACATACAGAAAAGGGATGATGAAATTCGAGGGTCCACTGTACTTTAGAAGCTTACCATCACTGGGTATAGTACTGTTATAATGTACAGTAAATCTATAAGGTGATGAGAATTTTATTTCTGCAGAATCCTCTGTAAAAAATACTGGAGGAACCCGCTCGAGGAAATTATTGAGGGGAAGAATGCACTCTGATTTGGCTGGTGAAAAGGATGTATACTAACTTGCCTATTTAAAGGCAAAGATGTAGGCATTTATATTTGAACAGCTTCTATGTTAAAAATTAACAACTGTACTCTAGATTATAATAATGTATGATATATAATTCAGACTGAATAAATTAGCCATTCCTCAAATGTGTCTTTGCCCGTAACTTCTCTTCTTTCCCTTCCCGTCATTTCTTGGTAAAAAAAAAAAACTTTCCTTTTTCCTCCCCAGTTGATTTGTTCACTCTGCCCAAGATGCCCATCAGGACACTTCTGAGACTTGGCATTGTTTCATTACCTCTTGCCCACTACCAGACAGCCAGTGATTGTCCAATGAGGTTTGCCTGGCTCTCACTTTTCTCTCAACACCTACAGAACTATGTCTCTATTAATGGTCTAGCATGTCTTCTAAACTTATGGGTTTCTTTTGTTTCTCCTC